TTGACACCGTGGACTTGAGGATCCCGCGGGCTTGACTCGGCACCAGCACTTACAGGCGGCCCAGCGGGTTATTTGACCTCTCGGAGCCTCGGTTTTCTTTCTGTGAGATCCTCGTGAGGACTAAATGGAAACCACCGGAAAGTATTTGGCAAGATGCGGGGCGCGCTAGCAGGGTCTGAAGTGCCATCGCCGTCACCGTTGCTACATGATGGATACGTGTCCCGGGCAAGTTATCGCTGACCGTCCGCATCCAAGCCTGAACAGCAGGTGGGGTGCGCCCCACCCTCCATGCCCTAAAGGCAAGAATCCCTTACGTTCATATAGTGTTTCACAAACTTAGAAAAGGTCCCACACTCCTCATCCCACAAAGGCCTGTGAAGCGAGATGGAGGGGAGTCACCAGGACTATTTGGAAGGGGGGTGGGTTTGCTAAGAGCCGATTAGGGGCGGAACCCAGGCTGTGGCCCAGGCTTCCCGGCGAGGAGGTCGGTCTTTTCACCCCACACCGCTCCCGGGAAAGAGAGCTGGATGTGGGTCAGGACAGGTGGTCGTCGAGGCTGCGAGGTCACTACCCCCTCCCCCACTCCACCCACCGCTATTTCTGAGCGGGAAGAGAGGCAACAATCCATGTCAAACCCTTCTCAGGGCCTCCTCTGTGATCCGTCCCTGCGAATGGACCATGGGGGGCAGGACGGGCCCCGCAGCGGAACCAGGAAAGGGATGACAGCCCACGTGGGGTGGCCTCAGCGTCTGCAGGTGGCCGGATCGGGCCCAGCTTGCCTCACTGCCTGCCTGGGAAGCAGGGACGGCAGGGTCTGAAACGGAGGCGGGCTCTTAGCGGTGCCCCGTGCCGTTCGCATTTCCACTGGGATCTGACAGAAAATGTACTTTTTTTCAATTGTGAAAAGGTCAGGCGTATTTATCCGACAACTGATAGTGCCTCCCTTGAAAGAGCACCTGTAAGAACTCAGCCAGCACCCGCCTCCCTCTGCTGCAATGGA